GCTTTCCAGTCTGATAATACTGTATATTGGAAAACCCTGAAATGCTTTGTATTGAATTTCCCAGCATCCTTACTTAGTAGGGAAGTTACTTCGCAGGTGGTAAAAGGGCCAGAGAGAGCACAGTGGTGTTGGTTGCAAAGGAGCCTGCTGCAGAGTTGAGAATGCGAGGCCTCCTCTCCCTTAGCTGTTTAAGCAAAACTCCAGCATTACATGTGGCTTCTGATGTAGTGATGGTGCTTAGCATGGGGGCTTGCAAATTATACTTTTTATTCCAGAACCTTTGTTCCCATTCAGAGACTGTCTACTGAAAACAACATGAAGTTCTCTTGTTTGGGAAGGCGCTCCTATTGTCAGGTTCTCGCAGGCGTTATTTCCACCCTCACCCCCAGCCTGTAAACTTGGCTGGGTGCGATTTGAAGACTGTTCGTTCACCTGGCAGTTTGGTCGCAGCAGAAACAATTCAGGAGTGCGGGCCGGTGGTGGTTGTGTGTGTTCAGATGAACTCTGCCACGTGTGATCAGTAAATCAGACTGGGTTGGCTGCCTAGGCCGTCTGTGCAGCAGGCTGATGTGGCAGACCGCTCGTGAGCTATGCAGCGTGGTACCCACCTTCCTGGAGGCTGCTGCATGATGATCCTAACCTTGGGTGAATTTGTGCTGACAGATCCACGCTCCTGGTCACTGGTTCAGAGTGTCCTGGTTTCGGCTGGGATACAGTTAGTTTTCTTCCTAGTAGCAGGCACAGTGCTGTGTTTTGGATTTAGTAGGAGAAGAATGTTGATGACACACTGATGTTTTAGTTGTTGCTAAGTACTGCTTATGCTAGTCAAGGACTTTTCAGCTTCCCATGCTCTGCCAGGGGCACAAAAAGCTGGGAGGGGGCACAGCCAGAATACCTCCCGTCAGACTGGATAGCAGCTCTCCAGTTACAGCGTCCAAGGGTCCCAGCCTCTTTGTATAATCACTGCTTTATTTTGTGTGATCGTGGCATTGTCCCTCATACAGCTGAGCTCCTTTCCTGCAACCTATGACAACAGGTACTGGACGATCTTGATACTTTTCTGTTTGCAGCCTTCGGTTGCTGGGAAGACCTCTGGAGAAATCAGCCAACAGAGCAAAGGCACCGCTTGCCTTCCTGTGGTCTTGTCCAGATCTGCAATTGCTCTGTTAAAAACCAGGGACGCGTCCTCTTGAAGACCTAGCAGAAAAGGTGATGAAGCCGGCACAGAGAAGGTAGGCTTGGTGTTTGACTTATTTTAGCGGGCTGAATCAATGACACATGCTAAACTATATGCATTCTCTACTTGCTTCTGCATCCAAGGACTCAGCTGGGGCTCTGAAATACTAACAGCTGCTGTTAGGCAGACAGGTCTAACTAGATTTGGCTGTGCTTTCATGCTGTCTCTGGAGTTTGCTAATAAAATAGTGACTGAGAGTCCAAATCATCCATCCCCAGCATGGAGTTTGCA